TACAAACACATTCAAATTTTATTTTATTTTTATTTTAATTTTTTTATTTTTTTCTCACTTGATTTGAAACTTATAAATCATGGAAATTGAATGTTGCGTTATGTTTATTAGAATGAGATCTGTTATGAAGGTGTGTTGGGGTAGGATGGAATGACATCAATTTACTATTTACACTATGTCAGACAGAGTGCTCAGGCACTTCAGCATTGCACAGAGTCAGGGAGTGGTGGGAAGAGAACATCAACCCCCTGTGAACATGCATATCCCTGCACTGTGTCACCAATTGGTCTTGCCAAGGGTGCAGAAGTTGGGAGATTGGTACACAGAGCAGGTGAGATGCAGTGCTGCCTTTCTCATGCCCCTGGTTCCCTGTAGCAGGTTGCGATAGCAACAAAGAAAATAAAATACCTAGGATGCCTAGGATTTCCTAGGTACCTAGGAAAATATCTAGATACCTAGATATTTAACCAAGGAGGTAAAAGATCTCTCTACAAAGAGAGCTACAAATCACTGAGGAAGGAAATTGCAGATGATGTAAATGAATGGAAAAACATATCATGCTCATGGATTGGCAGAGTCAACACTGTTAAAACATCCATATTACCCAAAGTGATTTACAGATTCAATGCAATCCCCATCAAAATACCAATGTCATTTTTCGCAGATCTAGAAGAAATAATTCTACGCTTCGTTTGGAACCATAAAAGAGCCCGAATAGCCAAAGCAACTTTAAGCAAAAAGAATAAATCTGGAGGCATCACTTTACCAGACTTTAAATTATACAACAAGGCTACAGTAACCCAAACAGCATGGTCCTGGCACAAAAATAGAGACATAGACCAATGGAACAGAACAGAGAATCCATATATAAAACCATCCACATGTTGCCATCTGATCTTTGGCAAAGTAGACAGCAATATACACTGGGGAAAAGAATCCATATTCAATAAATGGTCCTGGGAAAATTGGATAGCAACATGTAGAAGATTGAAACAGGATCCATATCTCTCACCACCCACAAAAATTAATTCAACATGGGTAACAGACTTAAATCTAAGACATGAAACTGTAAGAATTCTAGAAGAAAATGTTGGAAAAACTCTTCTAGATATTGGCCTAGGGAAAGAATTTATGAAGAAGACCCCAAGGGCAACCATGCAACAACAAAAATAAATAAATAGGACTTGATCAAATTAAAAGGCTTCTGCACAGCCAAGGAAACAATCAACAGAGCAAATAGACAACCTACAGAATGGGAGAAAATATTTGCATGCTACAAATCCGACAGAGGGCTAATAACCAGAATCTACAAAGAACTCAAGCAAATCAACAAGAAAAAAAAAATAAATAAATAAAACAGCCCCATTAAAAAGTAGGCAAAAGACATGAACAGAAGCTTTTCAAAAGAAGACAGACTAATGGCCAATAAATATATGAAAAAATGCTCACCATCGCTAATCATTAGAGAAATTCAAATCAAAACCACAATGAGATACCAGTGATAATGGCTTTTATCAAAAAGTCCCAAAACAATAGATGCTGGTATGGATGCGGAGAGAAAGGAACACTTATACACTGTTGGTGGGATTGCAAACTAGTACAATCTCTATGGAAAATAGTATGGAGATTCCTCAAAGAACTAAAAGTAGAACTACCATTTGATCCAGCAATTCCACTATTGGGTATTTACTGAAAGGAGATAAAATCATTTTATCAGAAAGACACTTGCACCAGAATATTTATTGCAGCACAATCCACAATTACGAAGATGTGAAATCAACCCAAGTGCCCATCAATTCATGAATGGATTAATAAAATGTGGTATATCAATACCATGGAGTACTACTTGGCCATAAAAAATGAATTAATACCTTTTGCAACAATCTGAATGGAACTGGAGACCATTTTCCGAAATGAAATATTTAAGAATGAAAAAACAAACCCCACATGTACTCACTATTAAATTGGTACTAAACGATCATATAGATTTTAAAAGGAAGCTTAGCAAAGGGTCTGAGGGAGTGAAAAGGATTAAAAACTTCCCCATCTCATTAGACACAACTTTTGCTAATCTGTGTATTCTGTCTTAGTTTCTATGATATTATCAATGGGTTCTATTCCATAAATCGTTAGTATTTATCATCTTCATGGATTCTGAAAAACTTTGGCTAACTTTCCTGCCTTTTTGTGTTTTGCTGTGTGTAGTTTTCAGTGTGGAACAATTACTTTTGTTGCTACCAAAAGAGACACCTGCAGGGTGACTGAGCAAGAAGAAACGGAGGGCCATAGTGGCTGAGGTCTTCAACCACAAAAGAGCAAGCGTTGGTAAAACATATTTTATCTTAAAATATCATTTTATCTGAAGAATATGTTCAATATTACAGAAATTTTCAATCTGAAATTATAATTATTTTTCTAATTGTAAAAGTGGTAAAACAAAAGCCCTTCAGTAAAAGAAGTTTCCTGGAGAAGGGTATAGACCATCATGTCACTTTTCAGTTCCATCTTTGTGTTGTGCTGTCACCATGGGCACCAGCATCTCAGATGGATATGTGTAAATAGGGCCCTGTCTCTGTGAAGGCCTGGCTTCCCACAAGACCATATGCAGTAGGCATTAAGTTAGGGCACAATAAACACTGATCATGGAATAACTTTAATCAACATTTATGATTACACTATGTTCTAAGCACTTAGGTAATGTTTAATTATATGATGATAAAATCATGATGTTAACCCTGAGTACTCTTCCTGCTTTTGATAAAAAATTCAAGCCAAGTCTTAAAAGCCATGTGTGCAGAATTTGTTCTTCTAAACTGTTTTCGTAAAATGATTTTTGTTTACCTGCTAGGAGTTATAAAAAACAACGATAAAAATTGTTTTGTCCGCCGATCCGTGTGCAGTCAATTAGATGTCTCATGGTGTCACACATTTTTGTTTGTTAGCCTGATTGTCTCTGGTGCTTTTTCTAAAATTACTGATAGGGAAATATTGGTCCCAAAGATGGGCAAGCACACGACTGTGCGAATACCTTCTCAGAATACAGTTGTAAATAAGCAACTGCTTTGCACATGTGAGCTTCCATATAGAAAAGTCTGGACTACTCAGGGGTCTTATGGACATTTCCCCAATGGCCTGCAACAGGGCCAGTTTTTTTTCCAGTTAGAAAAAGTGTTTGTGAGATCTACTCAGTAATAAAAAGGAATGAACTATTGATATATCCGACAAATGGGTGAATCTTATAGAACGATTATGCTGAGTGAAAGAAGCCAGACCAAAAAAAGTGTACATTGTATGATTCCATTTTTATGAAATTCTGGGAAATGCAAACTCATCTGTAGTGACAGAAGAAATCAGTGGTTTCCCGGGGATGTGGGAGCCAGGAGAAGAGGTAGGGGGTGTGGGCAGGTGGGTAGGATTTACCAAGGGGCTCGAGGAAACTTTGGGGGTGATGGATGTGTTCATTGTCTTGATTATGGTGACAGTTTCGTGGGTGTATACATATGTCAAAATTTATCAAATTATATATGTTATATATGCACAGTTTAATGTTTGTTATTCCACAGAGATAATGAAAGGGGGAAATACTGTATTATTGTTGTAAACAGAAATCAGTTGACACTTGTCATAGATAGCAGGTAACAAGGAAAATAAATGCAACTAAAACAGAGCAATGAAAGAAAAAATCTATCTCCTGTGGAATTTAGGGCATAAAAAAGGCCCCTGTGTTTCATAATTATACTCCCATCTGATTTTTGATTCTTGAAATATCTTTTATGGTGGGCAGGCAATTATGTTTTAATTGTCAAGAACAGGGGTTTTGGAGTTGGGCAGGCCTGGGTTTGACCCAGTTATCTTCTAGCTGTGTGACTTTGGGCAAGACACGTGTACTGCCTAATAGTTTTTTCCCTATCTGTAAAATGGGATGGTAGAGGCATAGTAAGATGGAAGCAATTTTGGCTATTATTTTTATTCATTTCACATTTTGATTTCCACAAGATTTAAAATGCAGGTAGTCTTGGGTGAGAAAATACAATATTTTAAATTCACAGGGGTCATGTTACCATGGAGAATTGGAATCTTTAGCAAAGTGTTACCTGAAAGAAGATGAGAAAGATCATCACATGAAGGGAAAAGAACACAGGGAGGGGACATGGGTGTTTTGTTAAATGTCCATCTTTTTCTGTGTTCCTCACGGTAGGCGTCAAGCTTCTAGGTGACCCTCTGCTTTTAGTGACTTCAGCTCTTTGCAGGCTTTAATTGTTTTGAATTCTTTAGTCTTTTCCTTTGTTAAATAGTAATGTCATTGTTCAAAAGTGCTATTTTATGATTACTTATTGAGAAGACTATTCTGGCATTTAGCACGTACTTTTTGTGCATGTTTATTTAGACGGAAGTGTACCGTTTATCTGTAGGGAAAATGTTTGACTCTTTAAATGCTTTATTTAAATTTGATAGACTTTATTTAATTTAACTTTTTATTAGCTTTTATAGCTTAATTTTTAGAAATTAACATATATACTTATGGAAGTAAAAGTTGATCGGTTTATCCTAAATTGGTCATATTATTGATACGCAAGTTTGGAGGACAATATAGTGAAAATATAGTTTAACTCTGAAATGTTACTTTCACTTATAGAAACTAATAGAATTACCTGCTTTCTCTTGATCTTGCCCGAATTTTTTCCTCTGCCAAGTGGCTGCAGGGATTTGACAGATGATTGATTTGGTTTTAGAGGGTCTTGGAATTACACAAAGTGTTTTTCGTATTGGGAAAGACATGCCCAGTTTTTCACAAGTTTTAAGATTTATCGCCTCACCTTAATGTGTTGCAAATTAGTTTGTTTGCTATTTATTTTACTCAGAGTGTAGTAATTGGTGTCATTAGCCGAAGGGCAAATTTGATCACAAGAAAGGGTAGACTGCCTTTTAACACTGTTTGTTTTTTCTTTGGCAACTCTGCAGGGCTGGAGATAAGATGGGTAGACTGCTACTTTCCTTTTACTCATCCTTCCTTCGAGATGGAGATCAACTTCCATGGAGAATGGCTAGAAGTTCTTGGCTGTGGGGTGATGGAACAACAACTGGTCAATTCAGGTAGACAAAAATCCCGTATTTTGTTGGCAGGCTCTCTAAAGAACACTCTCTTCATGTAGCCTCAATTGCAGTCTTACAGTGTTTACATACTTCTATAGGGGCGGCATCGCCATCTTTCCCTTCTCAGAGTCCCCTCTGGATTTAACACTGACGCTCAACTCTGAAAGAAGTTATTTCTCAAATTTCTTTAGACATCTTCCTTGTCAGCGCTTTGGTGCTGGATTTGTACTTTGTCATGTTGTCTTTGTTGATGTGTTGCTTTGTAATACCCCAAAGGCATCTGATGCATGTCATAACAGTGTAATTTGTCTACAAAACTATTTAAGAATAAAGCCAATGCACAGTCATTTTTTGTTCTTATTGCATGTAGTATACTGCCCCAAATTTAGCAGGTATTTCACAAATGTACTATACATGTAAAGCACTTAGGCCCGTAACGCTTAATTGATCACCCCTTGGTGTAGGCCATGCCACCTGACTAAGGGAAGCTGGCAGATGAGGGTGTTGATTAAATTCTATCCACATCTATAGGTACTTGAGAAAGGTCTTCCTGGCTCTTTTCTGTAGGACCATTGCTTAATAAAAATAATTGCTTCTAAACTTAGTTTCACAGCTGTGAGTTTTTTTTTAAAACTCACTACCTGAATTTAATTAAAAAAAATTTTTTTTTGGAGGATAAGTCCTCCAGGGAAAATTGATAGGGATTGGGTGTTTGAGTTAACTGCATAAGCAGCAAGCGCCAAGTGGAGAGGAACTGATGTGGATTGTTCTAGAGAATCACCCCACCTTGTTCCTGTAGAAGGACATTTGCTGTGTGGCCTCGGAGGGCAGCTCTGACGCAGGGTTGGTCATGGGGCCCCCTGCCGCAGAATGGAGAAGAGAGGTCCTTCTTGGTGACTAAGAAACATGGATAGACCGTGGGTAAGGTGTGGTATCTGGTCTCGGGGCTGGAGAATGAGGATGTGATGAGACTGGAAAGGCAGGATGTGTGAAGTGCAGCAGCTTGTGTTACTGGGCTGGGAAACCGGGGGCCTGGCCTTTCCTTCTTACTCTTAGGTGCCTTCGATCTGCAGGGGCCTGGACCCAACAGGCTCCCACACTCCTCTCCATCCTGCTGAGGAAGGCCTGGGGGAAAGCCCAGCACGTTGCCAGATGCCTCATGGACAGTTTTCAAATATTCGAAGGGCTCTCTCAGGAGAAAGGGAGCGCAGAGGTTGAAATCAGGGCCTGAGGGTGTGAGTTGTGAGATCTGGGCTTGGGTGTCTGGAAACCCAGGAGTTTTTGTCACAACTGTCAATTAACAGCTGTGTATTTTCAGACAAGATGTTTAACCCCCATGAGCCTTGGCTTTCTCATGATTAAGATGGCGCAACCATAACATCCTCAAGGCTCCTTTATGAGGATTAATTGAGGTGATACATATGAAGTGCTTAGCAAAGGGTCTTGCCCACAGGAAACATTCAATAAAAATTAATTGCTGATGTTACATTTAACATTTTTCTAGTAGCTAGAGCCATGGGAAATGTTTAAACAGAGGCTGTCCTGCCTGTCATAGAAATGATTTCTTACCAAGTGAAATTAGTTACTTCTTTAATCTGTAGTACGGTGATTCTAGATTGAGTGATTGATTTTAGAGGGAAAAAGAAAAGCAAAAGTAGTAAGAAACAGGAAGAAAAGGAAAATCAGCCAAATAGATGTATGTGCATCTCAACAGAAAACACAAAATCCTGGGAGCAAATATGGAAGATCTAATCTCTCCTTGAGTAGGAGCTGTTTTGTTAGTTTTATTTTGTTTGTTAGCAAAAGATTTGAATGAATCCCAGGCTTCCTCCCGGGAGTGCCTGGTGCCAGGGGGCCAGAGCTAAGAAAGCAAATCAGGGGATAATCAGCTTACCTATCAGTTGTCACTTGGAGTCGTGCTTCCTTGTATCATTTCCAATATCCTGGATGGGTTTTTATGAGGTTTATTTGTATAGTAATTGGCTGAATATAGTTATCTGAAACAGGTTTCCAAGTCATTATTGAACATTAATGAGACTGCTGTTCTATAATTAGATCAGCTATGTTTGGTATTCTTGAATGGAATGGCAAAGTGAAAAAAAAGTTAAAAAAGAAAAAAGACACCTAACATTCAAATATGTTTGAGAGATTCACAGCGATGGTAGGATGTGCTTCGAGTTTTTGGGAAGTTGTACGTGCAAAATTTAAATTAAGTATCTTACAAGAGAGGGAATCTAAAGAAATGGAAGAAGAGATAATATTATAAAAGAAATTCTGTGTAGACTTTGCTATTTGAACTTGATGTTTTTATGACACAGTTCTGCTCCGTGTTCTCAGACCCAAATGTGCTCTGTTGTCTGTAGTTAAAGTTTTTAAACTGTGTGCCTGGCAGTCACTAAGCATAGGCATTATTTGCCAGTCTAGCTAATTTTCTGTTTCTGAGTTCCTATAGCACAGAGAAAGACTGGCGGTGTATACTTCATCCCTCTAGTTTGCCATTCTCTCTCTTTTCTCCTACATTCCCCTCCCCTCCCCTCACCGCCCTCCCTTCGTCTTTTGTCTTTTCTCCCCTCCCTGTCTCTCTCCTTACCCTGATATAACTGATGGTTGTAGATTCTCCTCCTTTAAGGTTCTTACAGAGGATCAGGTAAGCGCTGACATACCCAGAAACCGAACAAGCTGATGGAGCAATGATAGTTGCAGATGGCAGTTGAGCCCCTAGTGTGTGCCAGCATCTCGTAAAGCAAGCTCTATACGCTTTCTTTCATTTTCCCTTGATAATAAGGCTGTGAGACAGCTGCTGTTGTCACTTCCATTTCACAAAGGTGATCCAGAGCAAAGAGCTAGATACTACAAGTGAAAGTTGCCCAGGTCTTTCTGACAACAGTTAACCGATATGCTGTGCTACCCAAATAGTAAATTGCATGAGTTCGAAGTGGCTAAAATTTCTTTTCAAATAATTCATTCTGCATGATATAGAATGAAGAGCTGCAACAAAATGAAACAAACAGCAAACAAAATTTTATTTGTTCTGTAGTTACATCTAAGAAAGGGCTGTGCCACCACCTGTGTTATCTCCTATGATAGAGTGCATTTAATTAAAGCATGAAATTAGGTTGCTAATTTGAACAGTCATTGAAAACATTTTATTGTACATTTAAGTGACCGTGGCATATATGTGTTTGTGGCATAGAATATGACTCATTTAAATGGCTTATAGAATTTTACTTTATTTCTTCTTCCTTAAGTTATAGTGCCTTCACCATTGCTTCCGGACTCCCTAGATTTAGTAATTGTAATGTGAGTAGTGACTGTTTTCATGATGATTTGGTTGTTTTTTCCTCAGGAAAGTGTTCTGAGGACAGTGCTGAATCACGTCCCCAAATACTACACACTTAACTTCCCACCGGCTGACTCAGACTGCTTCTGCCTTTTCATATGGTAAATGGAGCACAAACATCTAAAACCATCACCAGGGGCAGCTGTGGGCTGTCATCCATTTATTGAGTCCCTGTGACATTTGTACATCAGCCAAGGGGGAAGCTCTATAGTAGAAAATAACTTTTTAAAAACAAAAGCTCCTTCCTTACCTTTTCATTAAAATTTAAAAATTGACTTCTTTGGGAAAACCTTGTAACAGGGTAAATGAATAGTTTCTAGTTTTAAACAATTGTTGTTTGTTTATTAAATATTTCCCGAAGTCCTTCTAAGGCTATAGAAGAGCAAATAAGCATTATCCCTGCTTTTGAGAATATCACAGCGCACAGAGATATGAAAACACGTGATCACAGTTCCATGTAGCAAGTATTCATAATAGAGGTACAATGGACAAGTGTGGGGAGGGGAAGGATTGGAGAAGATTGTGCCAGGGCCGTGTCTCGTTATATTCAGGATGGCACATTGACGGTATAGGTTTTTGAAATGTGCATCCTGAATAAGTTAAGTTCCTGTTAATATTTGCAAGGAGGTATGTACTTTGTCTTCGCTTGGATGCCCAGTTGATATACCTAATGCTTCTTTTCCTGTGTGAATGAGAATCTATTTCTAGTCTATTCTTCTCTTTGGTAGTCGATCTCGATAGCCTCTGCGCACACTTACATGGTTAAGTGTGATTTATCTAAGTTGCTGAACTTGTAGGTAGCATGGACCAAGGCCGTACCAGGCACGGTGTTACGTACAAGTAAACGTGCTATTTATAGAGTTAGTGTCTTTTGTGTGCAAGGCACTGTGCTTGACAAAGAGGAAGTTACAACAGTGGATTAAGGTATGCCTTCTCCCTGTGAAAACTTACAGTAGTTTGTTCTGTGTGGTGGGGCAGATAAGATTATATCATTATAGCACGGTCTTATGTATTAATATAAATGCCATTTGTGAACGTGAGCTTTGTGAGATGAGCAGAGGGAACTATGTCCATCAGTTGGATCACTGGGGGCTTCACAGAGGAAGGCGGCCTTTGAACTGGGCCTTAAATAGTGATTCTCAGGTATGTGAGTAGCCATCACTTGGAGAGTATATTTAAAATGTCTGCTCATAGAACAGCAGAGTCTGCAGGTCTGGGATGGAGACCATAATGTGTGCTTTAAACAAATACCCTAGATAATTCTTGTGAATGACCCACACTCAGACCATACTTTGAAAACCTTGTCTTGAGGATAGATAGAATATTTTCCTCAATTTTATTGGGGCACAATTAAAGTATATTGTACTGAACATATTTAAAGTGTAAATGTGATCATTTTTTTTTTTTTTATTTCAGCATATTATGGGGGTACAGATGTTTAGGTTACGTATGTCGCCCTTGCCCCCTCCTCCCCCACTAAGTCCGAGTTTCAAATATGTCCATCCTTCGGGTGGTGTGCATTGCACTCTTTGTGTATGCAAATACCTGTCCCCTTCCCTCTCCCCCCTGCCCAACATCCGATAGATGTTATTCTTATATGTGCACTTAAGTGTTGATCAGTTAATACCAATTTGATGGTGAGTACATGTGGTGCTTGTTT